TTACAGTTTATGTGCCCTTTCTATCGTAATTTTACATGAGAATCATTAAAAATGTACATAATAACATTAAAACTCAAAAGGAATATTTTAAAAATGTATTTTTCAACATTCTATTTAATATGAAACATCTTGAAAATGAATATTTATTAATAAACGTCTGTTGTATGGATAGCAAAATAGTCTACATCGGTGTATCTATTAGGATTTTTCGGATTGTGTTCGTTCCATAGAAAATTCTTAATCGAATTGGAGAGGCTTCTTTACATGTCAAAAACTAACATTTTTTTTGCCAGAATTAAAAAAAGAATTAGTATTAGAAAAGCAGATTACTGCGAACTTCTTTTATCTCAATGATCGGAATGTATGAAATTATTAAAGTAACGATTAAAACTACTTTGAATTTTACAAGGACAATACTGTTTGTATTACTGCCCTTCTGAATAAGACATTTCTTGTCCAGTAATACCCACTTCCGCTCTTTCAACTATTAATATGTGCCACCGAAATCGTTAATCACCTTTTGCTCTTCTTGGCGCGACATCGAATATTATGTTTCCCTTTATCGTAGTACCACCCAGATCTAGCGGAACAAATAGAGCCGGATACCGAGCAGGGAACAGGGCCGGTCGTATCATTTATCAACATAAAAAAAAAACAAACCCTTGTTAACTTCATTAATAACGAACAATATTTCTCATTGTTATTGTGAATGTAAATCCTTTTTCAGTAATTTTTATCTTTTAACTGAAAGTTCCTGATATTTTGTTGTCAGTTAGCATTGAAGTATAAAAATGAAAATAGAATTCTGCTGATTTTAGATCTTGACGTTGTATTCTCTGCTTATATAGGAAAAATAAAAATATTTTGGATTCCTTCTCTTCTCAAATAATAATGCAAAAAAATTTCTAAAGTTCCTGGTTAATACATAACCATGAAAGTATTGATTTCGATTTATTATGTTAAAAAAAACAAGCCAGCTAGTTTATAGTCGATACAGGAAAATTAAAATAAAAAGCAATGCGAAACAAGAAGATTAAGTAGTGATTAAGACAAAAACTTATCTCAATTAACCACAACCCTTTTAATTAACACAGACGCGTGTTTTGCTAAATTTGTGATCATTTTCAATCTAAATGCTCATAACGTAAAAGAGCAAAACGCGTGTCTGCATTAATTAAATGTGATGTGATGGTTAATTATAATTATTTCTATATCCAGATAATAATGTAGTTTGTAATATAAAAACAGAAAACATTACTATAGAATCTCTGTCAATTTTGTGTTTGACCCAATTTTATTATCATCAAACAGATTCGCCAATGGAGCAGTTCTGTAGGAGCCTAATTTTAAAATCTATTTATCTGCAACATGATTATGAATTTTATTTTCTTTTATAATCTACATTTTCCTATATTCGACGTGATTTACTATTTATTGTATGCGGTTTCACAAGCATACGTATAGACGCACCAAAAAGTGCGTTTGTTTGCAATAGATATAATAATTAGGTGTATGTGTGTATAGTGATAAAAGGATTTGCGTTCATAGTCCATTTACAGTAAAAGGTTACTGTTATGTTGAACTTCCCCCCTTTGACTAGCTTGTGCTTCTTAATAAAGAAAGCATTATAGTAAACGAAATTGCACAATTTACGGAAACATGTAATTTGCGTTGGCGAGCATTTTATTCACGAAACGTTTCCGTGAGTATGTACTTAATTGCCTGGAAACTCTCAAAGGCGTAGTCCCAAAGCGCACAGGACGATTTATCCTGACTTGTTATCCACATTAAACTCATACTCTAATCGGTTGGATGACATGCAACACTTAACTATCAATCATTCACATTCTTATTACGATTACTTTACTTTTAATCCGTTCTTCTTGTAAACAACGTATAATCAATAATTAAAATAAAATAAAATCTACCTGGGAAAATTAAGAATAGTTTTTGAAAGTTAAAAGGTTTTTATCGTCAATTTGCATTTTTAATATTTAAAGTTACTTAAACCACATACCCAAGTATATACATGTATATTTGTACAGATTTATTTTTATGTGTTTATGGTAAACTCTTGTAATGGTAATGTTTTCCAAACATAATTACAATCGGTTACTAGTAATACACGACGCTTGCTTTAACGACGTTCGTGATATATTACAATGTTGATGCGCCATAAAATAATTTTCTTGCACTACATCAGCTTGTTAGCATTATAACACGAGTTAATGGACCTGTTTTCTTCGTAATGGATGCCTTTTATGGAGTCTCTTTAAGATTTGAAACTCGGTTAGAAATTGCTACAGCATTGAGATGAGCACGTAATTGAAAATTTCTCTTAACTAGATATTTTGCCAAACGTGTTACTATATTCAAGTCGTCTCAGGAAAAATTGGTGTCAAATGACTTCAGGAAGGATGGTGGAGATTCTTACGAGTTGAAAACGAAACGCGTTGCAATACAAGAATCCTGATGAAGAGAATGTAATGATCGGGCTCATGATTGTTTTTTTTTCCTTTGGTTGACCCGCGGATGGAGTCGATTATTCAACCATTCGCTAGCTTTTTTGGTTGGTATTTTGTCTCATTGTCAGCATAAACAAGCCGATGGTCTTCATCTGTAGACTCAGCGAATGAGGAAAACCGATACTGGACTACGCTCACGAAAACACCTTCGTATAATGTGGACCGTGAAAATCTTATCCTTTCCAAAAATCCTGAACGTTGCAGTCACTGTTGCTCTGTTTATTTTTCTTCTACTATACTTCATTTGTAGACTTTACTCAAACCTGTGAATATAAATGTTACACCATGAATAAATAACCTAGTTTAAAGAAAAGGATTTTTCTCAGTTAATCACAAAACAATAAAATAATCATTTGTTAAACAAAATTACTTATACGTAGCAGAAAAATATAACTTCTGATGATGTGAAGATTGACATAAAATTAGTCTTCGGACTGNGTTACACCATGAATAAATAACCTAGTTTAAAGAAAAGGATTTTTCTCAGTTAATCACAAAACAATAAAATAATCATTTGTTAAACAAAATTACTTATACGTAGCAGAAAAATATAACTTCTGATGATGTGAAGATTGACATAAAATTAGTCTTCGGACTGACGACCCTATGGTACAGATGTACATACAAACTAATCTATTCCTAATCCATCCTTACTTAAGTTGACTTTCTCACGTACAAGGAGACTATGCCATCATCATCATCATAAGTCTTAAAACTGGTTGGACATGCACCACCACTTATTCCTATTCTAAGTCAATCTTCACTAAATCTGTTGCATTCTATACGTCATTAACTATTTATGAACAGTAATCTAATCTAGGTCTACGTCAACTCCTCTTAACAACTGTCTCTACTTCTAATATGTCTCTGACTAGACCTTCATGCCTGAGAAGGTGTCTTACCAACCTATCTCGCCTATTCCGTATTAACTTCCGCAGCGCCTTTTGATCTCCTACTCTTTTCTAATCATCGTTATTAGGTCATCAGTCCTAAGACTGGCTGGACACGCACCTCCACTCCTTCCTATCCTGAGCTAATTTTCGCATTTTCCCTAAAACTAGAACATCCAACATCCTTAACTATTCGCGAGCAGTAATCTAATCTAGGTCTATCTCTTCTCCTCTTAACTCCTATTTCTGCATCTAATATGTCTCTGACTAGACCTTCATGCCTGAAAGGGTGTCGTATCAACTTATCTCGTCTTATTGACTTCAACAGCGTCCTCTGCTGTCCTACTCTTTCTAATACATCCTCATTTCTAACTTTCTCTATCCATAGTATCCTCATCATTCGCCGGTAACACCACATTTCTAACTCTTGGAAATTTTTCATATCAATTCAATTTTGAGTTTAACATAGTATAACAGAGTATCGAAATAGTAAGCTAATCGCAAGTGGTATACTGGTATTTTTTCTAGTATCGGCTAGTACTTGATGTTTTGATTGCAGCTGGTTTCACCATTAATTTAAATCATAAATAAAAGATGAAGAAACTAAACGATAATGTAAAATTCTACCTCCAATCTTAAATGATTATTACCTACAATTCATAATATTATAATTACACATGCATGAATTTTATTGAAATGTTATTTTAACGTGAATGGTACATAAATATTTTAATGACAGGATAATGGGAATCCTAAACAGCATGAAATCATTATTGTCTTAAAAGCTACCAATAGTCGTTATATTCTCAGTTTGTGTTGACTAACAATCAACGGTTTGAACATAAATTTGAAAATAAATAAGCGTAGGCTTTCACGGCCTTCGTTTTCATTAAAATCATTGTTTGTTTTCGGGGTTTTTGGCGGTTGTCTTTAAAAATTGTTTCCAGACGTTTCGCCTACAACTGTGGCAGACATCTTCAAGGAAAGCACATTGTCTTCTGGGTCTTAGTTGACTTGAGTGCTACGTAATGCTAACTGGTCAGTTAAAGTAACGTGCTACCCTTGATAATGTCTGCCTTAGAAAAAGGTAAAATTTTTCCACATCTAAAGGATTAAGTCTAACAAATGCCATCTATCTGCATCCACTAACTAATCTTCGAATCGTCGCCGCATGAGTTGCATCCAGCTGTAAAAGGATCTTTTAATTTGGTTTCTGACGTGAACATACAGAGTATATTACGACGATCTTATCGATTTCCTTATGATAACTACCTACCTAGATTAAAATAACACATACGCCACTGGAATATAATATTATGATTCAAATAATTTCATTTTTTCTTATTTGGGGCTTTACAAGAAACAAATAGTAGTTTTTATTTTTTCATAGTTAATGAGTAAACGCAACTGTTGTTTAATGCTCATTTTAATTTTAAATAATATTATGACACCAAAATTTTTTTTTTCTCAATTTACTGTGCATGTTGCGATAAGATCGTCAGAAAGGAAACTTGAATTAAAAGGTGCCATAATGAGAAGGGTAAAAATATCAATTGATGACGATTTACAGTGAAAACAATTTCAGGAAGCTGCTGATCGTTTTATGGATACGAGTTGGCAAATCCATCGTCAGTGGTTCAAGGATATAAGAAAAGCTTTCCCGACTGCGAAAACAGATAAAACTGATTCAGGCAATCAAAAAAACGACAAAACTCCACAGCGAAACGGATTAAAATTAACACAAAAAGAAACAGAAAAAGACGATGCTTATGCGACAATCAATGGAACACGTAAAAACTTGGAAATAGTAAAAGCGATAGTGTCAAATGAAGTAAATTCTAAACCAGAAAAGCAGAAAAATAATACTTTATCGGTAAGAGTTGGTGTTTGAGTGAAAATTAACACAGAAATTACTAACAAAATGAGTGCATTTATTTTTAGTTTATTTGTTATTTAGTTTTTTCTAACACACCACTGATGTCTTGCTATTAAGTCATATTCGTTTTTGTTACCGAAAAAAAGATTTACTAATTTCCGTGTAGGAGTATACGTTTTACTGTTAAGTATGGTAAATGGTTAAATACAGTAAATGCTACATCAAACAAGACTAAAAACCAATGGCATTAATATTTACAATCCTTTCATGCATGGCTGAATTGGAAGTTATTCGTTGTCATATTGAATATTATCGTACATAATCAAACATAAATTATTGCATATCAGGAAATGGATAAATCAGAATGTTACACAGTAATTAAATTACTATTTCTGCGACGGTTTGACTCCTTTATTGAGTCTTCATCAGGCATCTGGAATAACACATGTTGAACATAACCATATATAACTACAATATACAGTAGTTACCAGCAAGTTACGCTATTAGTTATTTTCATTCCGATTTTTCAATATGTGTGTTTGCAAGAAACATTACCGGAAAATAATATTCCATGAAATTATGAGAATATATTCTTTTTGTTCTACGCATGCAACCAACAAAATAAAGTGTTTTATATTGTACGTAATAATTAAAAGAAGCATTTACTATCGTGGGTACGAATACGCAGTAAAAAAGTATGGGTACGCACATTACTTTTAATTAAGAATTGAATTTTATTGATCGTTGTAATTGTAACACGACATAAAATAGTAGACCCTCAATAAAGATAAACATAACTTTGATGTGAATAAAATGGTAATACATCGTCCCTGCGTCAATAATAACTTGAATGATAGGTTTTTGCAAATTTTTTTAGCGTCTTGCATTGTTATATTTTTGTTCCAATTTTCTATAAAATAGAGGATCTACAAAAATGTTCCTGTTGTATCCGCTACGTTGCAGTAAAACTTTATAAGGTAAGTTGAAGGGCTATAAAACTGCGGCAAACATAATAACAGGAGTGAAGGATCCATAAAAAGGATAATTGATTTTGATAGATATTCACGTTGCTGTTACATTGTTAGCGTTAAATGTGTCTGTAAATTACACATTGTATATATGTATGTATTATTGATCTTTAACGACAAGGATTAAATTTTACAGGAATAAATGCGCTAGACGGTATTAAAGATAAAAAAATCCTCGCAAATATAATGGGCAAAACTAATAACATGTTGATAAATAATATAAACTCGTACTTTTCATTTGATATATGATAGATATTCGCAAAATGGTCGTCGCCAAAAACAATTTTTCGCGCAAAATTTGCATGAAAATGCATGCCGTGAGACGAATCGTCCCCGCACTCTTTAGACTTTTAATGTAATAGTGTTTCATTCTCCCAAAGATAAATTTAATGTTATATCTTATAAAATCAGGCATAGAACTGTTGCTGTCCTGATTCGGTCTAAACTCCGTCATCGATTGGAGTTCACGGAGAAAATGAAAAAGGGAAAATTTACTTAAATGTTAAAGTGATATTTACAATTTAACCAACTATCTCATTGCTTCATAAGCTAAAATAATAAAAATTATCATGACCCGAATTTGTAAAAGTAAAATCCCAGCAGAAATAAATTTACTAGGTATTTTAGTTGATATTACAAATTTAATTGTAATAATAAAAAAACGTCAAAATTGAAATTATTACAAATTACATAATAAATTCTACTATTGCTATGGCAAATTCAGTCATTTACAATCGAAAATTGTAATTCTTGCGTTGTCACAAAAGTTTAGTTTTCTGCGTGTTACTTTCTAACGTTTCGCTAGCACGAGTGGCGAATTTCTTCAGAGGTCCTTCCATCTTCAATGCGTCCAACTGACGAAAGCCTTTTAACCCAAATCACGACAGGATTAGTTCACCGAGAAAGCCTTTACCAGTTTGTCATCAGAATTCACATTTAGATCTAGTAATTGATGTAGTATTATTGTACTCATTTGTTTTTGATGATATAACATTTACACAACATAAATTGCTCCAGGTCATGATTTAATGCCCCATAACTTTAATGAAAAAGAAATTGATAATGAAGGTTAATACTTTTCGCAACGTTTAGATAGATCTCTCCGCAGTATCGAAGTAGTCTTTTTGTTTTCTCTCGAAAGTGACTTCTTTTAAGCTTTTATTATAACAAAAAGTTTTCTCATTTTCTCGCTTTATAGATACCCAATACGTGATGAAAATCTACTTTCTTTAGAGGCTTTGTCATGATTTATTTTTAGTCAGTTTATTAAACATCCTTACATTTTATGTGTACCGAAATGTTGAGTTACGATTACTACATACATTATATTTTAAACAAAAGAATTTTATGCGGTTTCAATACTTTAGTGATAATTTTGTACGTAATATCTGCTATTATACACCTACGAAAGTTTTTACTCGTTTGTTTCCACATCAGCAGTGAAGTATATTTTTATTGCATCCTACAAGTATGGGCTACGTAACAATGGTTTCATTTCAAAACTATTTATTTCGAAAGACAACTAACTGTACATAATGGTCAAGTACGATTTAACATTGTTCCTTTTCTGAGTTTTACGTTATTAAATATTATCAGAGAAACTACCGGGTGACTTCTGCGTATAACGTAGTAGGAGAACGGTATATGGAATGAACCTTCTGCATAATTCATATACCATTACATTACTATTAATTTATTCAAAAAATTGTTATTAAAAACGGCTCATTCCGCGTTTTGAAAAATAATCTATGAACTGTGTAATACAAATGCGAATTCCTTCCTAATATTTATAGACGAATCTGTGATACATTACCACCCTGAGGAAGCTTTTTTTAAAGATGCATTTAGACTGAAGCGTTTATCTTTTACCAGGATTATATTAATTTCAACTTTTGAACTCACTGGTTGCTCAAACTGCGACGGAAGAATTTCATTCAGTTATTTCAGTCTGGTAATAGAGAATATGAACCATACATTCTTCCTAAATGGTAAAACTTGCCAAAACGTCACAATAATTTTTATGAATTGAAGATCATTACAATATTGCAAAAGAATAAAAATGTTCAGTCTCTCAGAGTCTCTGAAAGCGACTCTACTCTCTTAGGTGTCGCTGAGAGAGACTGTCAAAAAAACTGTTTAGCGTCTCTGAACGAGAGACTCGAGTCGCTCATAGAGAGATCCTCATTTCGTATCCAGTCTCTGAACGAGAGACTCGAATCTCTCAATAAGTGGTGTCTTGATGGACATGGTTAAAATTTTCTAAGTTCAACATATTTCAGAGATCCCAGTCTTTCTACGAGAGACTCGAGTCTCACAATTTTTCAGTTTTATTCATTCAGTCTCTCTGTGAGAGACTCGAATCTCTGAATTAACAATTTTATCGTTCGAGTCTCTCATACGAAGACTGTGAGAGATCCCTAAAAACACCTAGGTAATAACTGAGAGACTGTGAGAGACGCTCTCAGAGATGCTGAAAGACTCCGAGAAACTGGAGAGAGACTGAAAAATATTGTCTAGAGAGTATATGGATTACTAAGAACCTATGATCAGAATTCATGCATATTTATAAATTTTACACCTGTATTACATAGTTTTATAAAATGATTATGTAGTTCAACGACGCGTTAAAAATGTAATGCACAACGCTTATTTTTGTATTAGTGTATGTTTGATGGCGTCTATTAAGCATCGCGTTTTAACGCGTATCTCATTACTTATTCTTGTTCGTGTGCTGTGTAGGCATCTTCAACAAGTATCAAATTAAGACATTGGGGAGTGTTAGCAACCTACAATAACGTGTCTTTTGTTGGTTTAGTGCGCGGCATGGTCGCATCGTAACCCAATTCCCTCGCGACCTGACCTAAATAAAATTAGGTGTGGTCCTTGATGTATTCTGCACTGCGCCGCTGGAGATTATCCCTGTGTATGTTATGTTGTATATCGGGCAAGTTTGTTCGAGTGGGTGCGTGATTTATTGCTCTTTTACTGCAAATTGACCTGTTAACAATTTCTCGAACAATTTATTATACACATTTATAAATTAAAGCACAGTCATTGGGCCATGGTGTGCTCGTAAACCACTTTTTATTTAAACGTCCTGAGAGGTGAAAAAATCGCGGTTTAACTGACTGCCATTAAAATGCACTGTGTGTATATTCTTTTATTGTTTTATGCAACAGACAACAGACGTCAATAAAGCGATTTACTGACAATAAATCGTTTAAGTACCACGTGAAATTGAGTACGAATGAATTTCTTCGAACCCATACGTACCTACTTCTCGTCGACAGACAGTATAATACGTTCGACCGATGATAAATCCTTGTTATTTTAACAACGATGGCTGTCTTCCGAGGTTTGATCTGCGTGAACATCTAATTGCTTTGATTCACTTCTTATGGGAAGACAACAATTTTTTCCAATTTTCTCTAACTTATCGTCGATAAATTTTGCTCCTGAAGTTGTATATTGAAGATGTGTGATGACTCGGATTTCATAATAAGAATATAATAACTAGATCAATCCAGTTATATTCTTGATAATGGCCGTATCGACCGAAACAATAAATTTTAGAAGACATTCTTGTGCTTCCTTATTTCTGAATATTTAACATTTTTTTACAGATGGACAGTATAAGCTGAAGCAAAATATTTAATAAGTGCAATATAATAATTTATTGAACTTGGAACTAGATGATCCCATCAGCACGTCATAGATGCTGCATATAATTATAAATTATCGAGGTACAGCAGTATGCTGCCATCTACAGATATTTGCTGCTATCCGAATTATTTCAAAAGTATCTAACATTCTTATCTAACATTTGAAATACTTCTGTAGCATCAAATATCTGTAGGTAACCTATACTGTCCCTTGTTAGATATTTAATATGAAAGTTACCCCTCCACATTTTTTCGAGATAAAATAATATTATCTTCAACGATCCCAAAAACTTATTCACTTACTTTT